GAAGACCTATAGTTTATTTAATAGATCTGATTAATTGGTGTTGGATTGTATTCTACACTGAGAACTAGATTGCATGAATACTATAGTTGAAGATAAAATTTATCAACAACTTCAAATTTTGTTTTAATATTCACTTGATATTGGGTCATTTCAAATAACTATAGTGAGATATTTTTTGTCTGAGGGTAAAAAATTTTATTTTCGCTACGCCTTGTAATAGGTTTAGATCTCTAAATTCCAACTAAACTAAAAATCGACCTTGGTTGAATAACACTTGCTGATCTTAATAATTGTACTATAGTCATCGATGTGTATTCTTAAGGTGATGGGTATATTAAATGGACATAAATTACTTGCAAGATTAGAATACTTATATTACTGCTAATGATGTGTTTTCAAGTTGGCAAATCCAGAGCCACCATATGAGGACAAAAAGAGACATTAGAATTGAGTTGGGATAACCTAATTCTTAATATGTGTTTAACGTTGAGTTTTTAGCTTTATAATAAGGTGCCACCACGTGAAACACACATAATTAACGGTTTTAGTTTCTTTCATCTGTTTTTGTCTATTTCGTTAGCAGTTTTTTTGTGATAACTACAAGAATACGACCAGGAATATGTCAAAAACATATAAATAGTAATTTATTCTTGATGCATATGTGTCCACAATATAAATAAATAAATAAATCAAGGAAACGACAAGTTGTTATTGGAAATATGCACTAACTTATTGGAAATATACACTTCAATCTCCCTTATCCTTTCATGCCAGAAATTATAATAAAAATGAAGAAATAATAAATGTTCTCTTTTACTTGATAGTTAAAATATTTTATATTTAAAATATTTTGTGGTTTCAATTTGATAAGTATGATTAGAAACTGACATGCGTCAAATATATAAACTTCATTTTCCAACACGATAGCACCCTGTCCAAGAATTTGAATCTATCCTTATAATTTAGTGTAGTAATTTTACTAGTATTATCTATCTATCCTTATAGTAATTTAATTTGAAACTTTGGGAAAGGACAACCTGAAAGTTTGTGCTTTAAGTGTTTCTTGAATAGAATTTATTTTTATATATTTTCATATTATAATAGGAAGATGATAATGTTTGAATGAAATATGAATCACAGAAGTGTGTACGAGAATATGTGAAGAAAAATAAATAAATAAATAAATAATTATGTTGTAATAAACTACCTTAGTATACAGTTCCAACAAATTTTCTGTGTTATTTTTATCATCCTTTCATTAATTTTCCCTAGGCACTTAACATGTTTACTTCACTTGTGTGAATTAAAATTAGACGATGGAGAAGTGCTTGTATGTGAATTAAAATTAGACGATGGAGAAGTGCTTGTATTCCAGTTGACTAATTTGTTATTTAAACAATCTAATTAACGATACAACATGTTATAATATTTTAGAGAACTTTCAGATTTTTTTCATCCGTTGGATTTGTGTTTTGTTATTATAACTAGTACGGTACCGGTGCGATGTATTGGAGCATTTATTACTTATTTGTTTTTTAAAAAGTATTTTTTTATTTAAATTGTCTCATGACATTAAAAATATCATGAAATATATGTTATTAAACATTTCCTTATGTACAACATTATTAGTTTGATTCATTGACACGTAAAATACTACATAGGTGTTCGAATTTTATCTAAAATTGTATATTGTTAGTTATTAGTTAACAAAATTTAAAAAAATTAAAGGATCTTATTAATTAAACTAATTATAGTAGAAAAAAAGTAAAAAATTTTAGCGATTTTCACTCATTATTTATTTTAAATATAATTCAAAATTTCAATTAAGAAAAATTTAAAAAAAAAATCATTAATTACTTCTGAAAATGAAATCGATTTTCCTACCAATAAATCAGTTTTTTTATCAAATAAATTGATTCGAATATTTTTTTAAACTAAATAAAAAAATCATTAATTTTTTCTAAAAATGCAACCAAATTTTCCTAGCACTGCACCGATTTTTTGACCAAACAAATTGAATTGAAAAAAATTTTAATAAAAAACTGAAACAATTTGTTAATGTTTATGCAACTGTCTTTTTCCTAAACAAAATGATATGAACTTAACAAAAAAAATGATATGTAACTTACCAAAATCTCGGTAAAACATGGTTAAGAAAGAAACATAAGAATAAAAAAAAATTGATGCATTTAAATTTTGAAAAGTTGCACACAATTTTTCCTTAGTAATTGAATAAGGTGACTTTAAATATCAAAGATGATCCGCTTTTATTACCAAAAACTTTGGACACAATTTTGAATGTACATCCCGTCCAAATATCAGTTTTATTCTAAAATAAAAATTGTACATGGTTTTATCCAATTTACACATTTTTTTTAAAGAAAAAATTCTTCAATAAGATTGGAAGAATTGGTTAAGAAATATACAACTATTTATTTCCTAAATTTGTATCCAATTTGTACGGTTTTTAAGTGAATTTGTATTTAAAATTATTTTCATAAATAATTGACACATTTTTTGCATAAGAATCTCCAAATTTGTTACCAAAAACTATATGATTTACATTTTGGTAAAAAAAATAAAATATAATACGAAAAAAATGGGATTCAAATTTTACAATAAGAATCTTCAAATTAGTTACCAAAAAAATAGAATTCAGATTTTGTTACTAAAGATTTACATGTATTTTTTCGAACTTTCCATTAATAGTAAGTCAAACATTATATTTATTTGGTCAAACTTTCTATTAATGTATTTTTCCAACAATCTCTTTATATAGATATAGATATAGATATAGATATAGATAGGATTTATTTCGATACACTATTAATTTGGCATGGGATATATTTTTTATAATACTAATATTTTAAAGAACTTTCAGAATTTTTCATCCGTTAGATTTGTGTTTCTGTTATTATAATATAATAAGATAGGATTTGTTTTCATATGCGGTTGGCCGCATCCTATTTGGAATTAGTATAGTTTGGTTCATTTTTGTGTGATACATCAAGAATGGATCTGGGCTATATTAGAAATTGTATTGGATCCGAATGAACATATTGGGTCCATGCTTTTCTTTTAGGATAAAGTACATAGAGACACCTCAAAGTAAAGCTAATACCTAAAAAGCGAGATGCAAAAGTTAATCACAACTTTATGAGCTCCTTCAGTTTTAGGACTTCGGAAACGTCACTATTATAACCTTGTCAGACTTGGCACTTTTTTGAGTTTAAAGAGTAATTACCATTTTTATCCATTAAAACTTAATTAATTCCAGCAATAAACGTTGTTAATGACCAACTCATACTATTAGCTCATTTTCTCTCTCCAATAAGTATATCAAATAATTAAATTCCACATTTAAATTTATATATATTTTTATTTTAAATTGCTCCAATCTCTTCTTTTTTTCTTTTAACCCTTTTTGTGTGTTCTCTTGAGTTTCATCTCTAAACTACCCAACTTGCTTGGGACCAAAGACTTTGTTGTTGTTGTTATTTTAAATTTATATTTATAAACCAGTTTTTCTACCATAATTTTATATCTAGATTGTTTTAAATTTATTATAAGTGTGTAAACCATTACAAGAATACTTTTTAAATTTATTATAGGTTTATAAAACATTACAAGAATATAAACTATAAATTTAAATCTATATATAGTTTATTTTCAGTTTATTATACAAGATAAAATCACTTTATTATACATGAAAAAATTATATAGGGTTTATTTTCAATTTATTATAATTATAAAATAATACTTTTATCCACAAAAAAATATAAATTTATATATATTTTATTTTCATAATACGGCTATTGATAAACATAATAAAATCATAGATAAACATCAAAACACTCAAAAAAAACAACTTTAAAAAAACTTTCGGGAATTAACACACGAAATGAAAAACCTAATAAAATCATTGATAAACATCAAAACACTCAAAGAACTACTTTAACAAAACTTCCGGAAATTAACAAACGAAATGAAAAACCTAATAAAATCATAGATAAACATCAAAACACCAAAGAACTACTTTAATAAAATCATAGATAAACATCAAAACACTCAAAGAACTACTTTAAAAAAACTTCCAGAAATTAACAAACGAAATGAAATCATGGATAAATATCAACATCAAATTAACACTAAAAAGCTACTTTACTTTAGTTTTTTCTAAATATTAACATACATAAATTAGAAAAAAAGGAAATCGAAGCCATAAATAAAAAAAAAAAAGAAACGCAGCCCATCACTTTTTCGATCTTCAAATCCCCATTTTCAGCTCTTTTCTCGACACTTGTTTTCTCCTTGTTGATAACACCAGCTCAAGCTTCTGTTTCCTCGACCTTTGCAATCAGTTTCGCCACAAATCGAGACGAATACGCGTACAGTGCAAATAGTCAAAAAGCATCCGCGCGTCTACTTTGGCGACTCATGGGATTCCATCTGAATGAGCACGCAAGCATTTTCATAACTCAGAAATATAGGCTTTAACAACACAAAACTCATCCCATGATTCATATTTCAGGTAAAAAATATTTAACTAAAATAAACTCAAGATAAACATCAAATTAACTCTAACAATCTACTTTCAAAGAACTTTTTAAAAATTATTCAAGAGTGATCCAATAAGAGCTCTCAAACAGACCATGGACTCGCTAGAATTCTATCTTCAAATCAGATCTTAAATCCATAACAAAAAAAAAAGAATTAAAAATTTCCNAAAGAATTAACAATTTCCGAAACCCTAAATCACTAACCCAAACCTCGAGGCGGCATACGTTGCCGGCGGCGGGAATAGGGAGACGGTAAAAAAATTGTGATATTAAATCCTGAGGTGCTGCTGGAATTCTATCTTCAAATTTTCAGATCTTAAATCTAGCAACTCATACATCTAGATCAATCAATGAAACCTCCACAGGAAAAAAAAATTAAATTTTGTGAAACCCTGATTAACCCACACTTCGAGAGGGAGACGATCTCGGAGACAGGGCGAGATGGCGCCGAGATGCAGACCCTCCGCTGGCGTCGGGAATCACCCCATGGCCAGAAAGGCGGAGCCCGAAGGATATGGCTGCCCATCACTGGTCCAACCTATGGTTAGAGGAGCGGTGCAAGCCCCGGCGGCAGATGGAGAGGAGGGGCGCCGAATACTGAGATTTGCTTTTTGGACGGAGAGAATTAAAGCCGAGAGGGAGTGGATCTGTTGGTAGAAATAAAACTCATGGTGTATCTTTAGCCTTTGGAGAAATCGTAAAAGTGGAACGTAAAACTCAAAAATGATAATAAAAAACTAATATCATCTTTAAAGAAAAAAAACTTATGAGAGACGTGCATCGGGTCATTCTTTCCCAATTTTTTGGGTCATACTTTCATGGGCTGTGGCTTAGTAGTCAAGGTTTGAATAATCCATAGTTGTATGTTTAGGGATATAAACCTAAAAGGTCTAGGCTCATGAGGGACTCAACCCAATGGGCTAATATAGTTCGTAGCCCTATCGGTAGTGGCCCATCAACATACAAATGGAGTAATTCACTGACGTAGAAGAATGAGATAATTACCTGCTGCACGGGGCCCTAGAAGTTTTCTTCTTTAATTACGATTAACAAAACTTAATACCAAATTTGACTTTTTATTTACCATAGAACGAGATAAACTTTCCATTAGGTCAACTTTGATTGAGTTCCTCCATTTCCCCTATGGCGTCTCTGCAACTACCACTCTCCCTCCTCATATTTTCTCTCTCCATACTCTCCACCGCCTCCAAGCCATACTAGCCGCTGCCTACGCCTCAGTCCATCATCGACGCCGCCGAAACCCTGGCCACTCGGGGTACACCGCCATGTCCCTCACCCTCCATCTCATCGCCCCCGCCCAGCCCCTCCCCGCCGGACTCCGCCTTCTCCGCCTACGGTAAGCCGTCTCTCGCCCACCTCCTCCTTCACTTCTTCCCACTCTCTCTCTCCCCGTCATCCCTCCTCTCGCTGCCCTTCGCCTCCACAGTCCCGTCCCTCTCCCCTGCTAGCTACCTTGTCATGACCTCCGGCCAGCCCGAACAAATATCCATCAACAAAAGCAATTGACAGTTTCTTCAACTTGAATTTCACCTTAGCGGATGCAGATCTGGCCAACCAGAACCCTAGATTCGATTCCCAGTGCCTGAAGTTGGAATCATCCTCTAGATTTAGGGACGCGTTGGAGTTTTGAAATCGAGAGGCTACTCGAACTGCAACTCATCGTTTGAAGGCGGAGCTATAATGATGCATAATCGAACAAAAAAATGGTTGGCCCTAATGTTGAATACAACGGAAGTACAAGACTTGTGCAGAAGAAAATCGATTTCGGAAATCTCTGGGTCCATTGTTAGCGAGTTATCGAAAATCTTTATTAGCTCCTCCCATTTAACTAGCCTCGGGATTATTTGTTTTGGTTTAATGATTTTGCGTGGTCAAGATACACTCTTGAAACGATTTTGATTCCATTAGTCATATCTGGTTTTTTTTTTATATTACCCCTTTTTCTAATTTATGTGTGTCTATGTCTAGAAAAAAAAAATAAAGTAGCTTTTTTAGTGTTTGTTCGATGTTTGTTTGAGGTTTATCTATGATTTTTTGAAGATGAAAACTTGAATAATATGTGGAAGTTTTTTATAAAGTAGATTTTGGAGTTTTAATTGATCTATGATTTCATTACGGGTGTTAATTTCTGGGAAAAAAATTTATAGTTTTTTTAGTGCTAATTCGATGTTTATCTGATGTTTATTTATAGTTTTTTGAGTGTTAATTTGATGTTTATCTGATGTTTATTTATATTTTTTTAGTGTTAATTTGATGTTTATTTATAGTTTTTTGAGTGTTAATTCGATGTTTATCTATTATTTCTTGAAGTTGGGAGCTTGAATAATATTTGGGAGGTTTTTTTATTAAGTAGCTTTTTGAGTGTTAATTGATGTTTATCTATAATTTTATTATATTTATCAGTAGTTTGTATTCTGAAAATAATATATATATAAATTTACATTTAGTGTGTATAAAAGTATTAATTTTATAACTATAATAAACTAAAAATAAATCCTATATTTTTTTTTTCTTGTATAATAAACTGATTTTTTCTAATATAATAAACTGAAAATAAACTATATATAAATTTAAACTTACAGCCTGTATTCTCCATTTTCAGACGTTTTTTCTTTTGGTGGCAATCTTTCCTTTTTTTATATAAACCGGGCATCAATTACAGAAGGATTAATGTGGTAACAGAGGATTAATATAAACGCCTTTTATATCACCGTTTGCATTTTTTGGGAATATAAAATCACAGGAATTAATACAAGTGTAATAAAAAAACTTGTCTCGCATATGTGGTAGTAGGGAAAACATAAGTCGTAGCTGCGTACATCAGCCTAGAAGAATTGGTACTAATTTTCAAGGCACATTGAAAATGCAAGAGTCAATACCCAAGTGTAATTAAATAATAGTCATCCCACCCATTTTATGTATTTGTTCACATTAAGCAATCTTTATTTGAAGATAATGTATAAAATTGTGTAATGATGTATATATTTGAAAAATATAATTCTTAAACAGAGTCAGGTAGGTAACCATACCAGAAGTAAAACACCTGGCTTCACAATGTGGACCTAAACATGGTGGGGTAGTGCGGGTCAGGTCAATTGTCATCTCTAAATCTTGGTCATCTTTTTTATTGGGTGTTACTAAACACAGCCTCCTATTACTACATATTGTCCCCACTTAAACCATTTTGCCTTTGACATTTTTCCAAAAAAAATCAAAAAGTCGTAAATTCTGTGAAATCAGGCGATTTCCGGCGAAAATATGTCAGACGACAAGGTACAATTTTTGCCGGCCGGCCGGCGAAATCAGCCAAACCGCCGTCAGGCAAACCAGCTTTTAATTAATTTTTATTTATTAAAGAAATGATGTTAATAGAAATTTTTATGTTCGAAATTAGAATTTATTATTATTATGTTAAAATTTAAAAATTATTATGTATAGATTAAAATTGTTTGTCTTATAAATTAGAATTTATTATCAAACCAGAGTTGTTTGCGAGAGCTTTTTACATCGTGAAATCTCTACCTAGCTAGTTTCATGCATGGTAAACTAATTTGTTGTGGAACAGAATATCAATTTTACTCAAACATAAACAAAATTGCAAAATGTACCAAAAATACTGAAATTGTACAAGAAAACTCACACTCGCTCGCATATTCGCTCTAGGGATCTAGTTGAATGAGGTGACGCCAGGTTCACACAAAACTACCAAATTATGCCCTTATCATACATAAACTGATAATCACACGTTCTTATCAATTAAATTTGTCACCATAACATTAAGCTTTGCTTGCAGCACCTGAAGATCCACACCGGAATTATCCAGCACCTGCCATATTAATTATACAGTCAACCAATACAAAAGTTTTCAAACACTGAAAAAGTTGAAATTAACACAACACACAAAAAGAAAACTTATGATCAGTTGTTTAATTGTACCTCGGATTGGATCACATAATTCAAACTCTCGTCACATCTAGTCGAATTGCAAGAGACTGGGCCAAGCCCTTCTTCAAGCAGCACTTTTAGGATTTTGGAAATGGGAAAAGAGAAGCCTTCTGGCATTGAATCGCAACGTAAAAATACCTCAACACCAACACAACATGGCTGAACCTTAACAAAAACCGGCCGAGTCTGGCTACTAAAGCCTCCCGGACTAGACTCTTGTAAATCTGCTCGGGACATTATATTTATGTTGTCCCTCTTTATTCCAAGTTCCCTAATGTTATCCTGCACACATCCTATGTACTTCTTCGCCACATCAAGTTGATCGCAAATCGACCTCTTGCCCTTGTGAATTTTTCAACCATATGTGCAATTGAGAATTTTCAAATATATTAAAACGAAAAAAAAAAAAAGATTAATTAACACAATAATTATTTTGGGATCATGAGATTCCTTATCCCATCCTAGCTAGTTCATATTTCTATTCCATTTTCCTTTGTGCTTGTTATAAGCACAGATCGTAATATATGTTATATGATCAAATTTCACATTGCACTTCCTAATTATCTCACTTCTTAACTTATATCGTTGAATGATGGCTAGGCTCTAGCAAGATAAGTACAAAGCAAAGAAATTAACCAAAAATATTGGCCTAGTAAAATTCATCACATAATACCCAAAGTCCGGTGCAAGGAGAAGCATTATATTTCCAAAGTTTGGCCTAGAAATAATTTGGCCTTATATAAGAAAAAAAATAGAAACCTTAAAGTTTAGACACCAATGCAATTAATATGAGTTGGGATCAGATTTCATGCTCCACAAAATTCATGTTCATATTTCACTATGTTTGATATAAACTTATGTTGATAGCTTCTTAGTTTTATCACCGAATAATTGAAACAACAACAACAAACAAACAAACAAATATCAATCGATATCAAAACAAGCAAAAAGCAAAAAGATATTTTTTTTTTTTTCGGTTTACCTTAAGAAACTGCGGGGGGAGGACAGAACGAAGAGAAGCATAGAGGGTTGACATTTCGTGCCTCCTTTGCCTCTCAATATCTCTATGCATTTTCTTTTTCTGCACTTCTTGATTTGAAGTGCCACCCTCACTAACTTCCTGATATTGCTTTGGCTGTTTACCTTTGCTACTATTATTATTATTATTATTTTTATTATATGCAATACCTAATCCTTGTGATGATTGGGAAAAACCAGGATAGGAGATAGGATTCATGCCCACATCCCATGATACCGTGAAATCGGGACAGCTGGCTGAAGCATCGGCGTCGTCTTCTTGAAAATTGAAAATTGAAAATGAATTGTTTTCCATCTTTATTGGAGTTAATTTGACGTTGGAAATTAATTAATAAAATGTACTGGTGGAATGGAAGTTATATATAGTAAAGGAAAGTGTGAACTGGGAACATATATTTTAGGGTTTTGAGAGATTTTTGGAGATCTTGACTGGTTTAAATAAATTCCATGGATTTGATTCTTGATAATTTTGAAATGTTTAAGTAGGTGAATAGGTGATCAAGTCTATTTCAATGGTATCACTGTTCATATGGCGACTCGCTCGTGTGTATTTAATTTAACAATAAATAAATAAATAAATAAAATAATAATAAGATTTAAATTAAAATATAGAATAAAAATTCAAGGCAGGATTTCTAAATTAACATCTGGTGGGGGCCCGGGCTTCTTTATTACGTAACACTGCATCTACACTTGTGAATATAAAATTCGATAATGTTTTTTGGACAGCATGGCCCAAATCATTTAGTGAGATAACATATTTTCATATGACTTGTTGGGATCATTATTAATTTTAATATGGGATCATTATCACCTAAAAGTTTTGGTCATCGTGAGTTGAATGATTCAACATAGGTACGTAATATATTCAAGTAATAGTCTTTTTTTTTTTAAAGTAATTAATTACTCATAAAACTATTGTAAGTGGTAATTTAAGCCTCACAGTGTCTATGTTAAGCATCAGTTCTGAAGCTTTGGAAGTATTGCAAAAAAATGAGAGTCATTCCTAATAGTAATATAATTATTAATTTATATTTAACTACATTATATATTTATTGATTTATAAATGTATCTAGAATTGTTGTCCGAGGGAACATTAACTAGCCAAACTATATAACTTTTCTCAGCAAATCAGATTTTGGTTGTCTCATTAGCTAATTCGTCACATTTATCTTATTTTGCTACCAAATGCACACACATATGGAACTGTGTCCCTTTCCGTAAAGCATTTGTCCTTCGTTGAACCAGAAAAGTGGTTTTGTTTTTGTAGCTCGTAATCATTCGACAGACCAAAACATAACAGTAATAGGAATACAGTAATTGTGTAGTTTGTTATTCACAAAAAAATCACAATTTG